CCGTCCCCCTGAGGACAAGACATCGTCACCATCGAGGTTTTGTTTTTTATGAAAAGCATCACCTGTGTAACAAGTGAAACTCTGCTCTGGGGTGTGTGTTGCGCTCTCGTTGCTTTCTTTTTAATGATGAGCCAAGCCGTGCGCAGTTGTGTGTGTGCGCGCGCGTGTGTGCGCGCGTGCGTGCGCTCGCGCGCTCGCAGTAAAGGTTATTTGCGGGTTCGTGTGTGTGTAATTTAGACCGAACTTCCACTGGCTGGCCCAGACTTATAAACTGCACAATAAATTAAACACATACGTTTGTTTCCCTCTGTGTCTCACAATAAATCCTTCACTGGTTTGTTATATTTTGCGCATTTGCCATCAAAACACACCACGAATCCAGCCAATGTATCATCTCCTCATGAACCTTTGAATCAGGTACCAAAGCAGTGACGTAACTTCACCACTTTCGAAGCTTCGGACGTCACTGATCACATGACTTTTACCAAACGAATCAAGCTCCGACACAGTGCTTCTGAAACAGTGTATTGTTTTTTTCAATACATGCGCCGAAGCTTCAGCTTCAAACTGCCCATCACTACATGAAGGTATTCTGTATAAACAACATTTAAAGGGGAAAAAATGTTATTTAAATCACTCCTTGTTAGCTTAATATTTTATGCTATCACCCTCAGCGTGCAGCGTGCATCACAAACACTGACTTTCTCATGGTTATAAAAGTAAAACTGCATGTTTTCGCTTGACACGCAGCAATCATTTAATGTTTGTATTTAACTGCATTCAGGTTCTGCGGCATGAGGAGTTTGAGGAAGGCTGCAAAGCTACATGCAACGGGTAACCTGAGAGAAATCACAAGAACTGAACTGAACTTTGCACTCAGGGTTGCCTCACAGAAGCTCTTGTTTACCTCTTCAGCCCTTATGATGGAAAATGGAGCAAGACGATGGTCGGCTTTGGTCCAGAGGATGATCATTTTGTTGCTGAGCTGACGTACAATTATGGGGTTGGAGAATATCAACTTGGTAATGACTTCTTGGTGGGTGAGATTTCAATTGCATGTTTTTATTTTTATTTTTAAAAGACGTGCAGTGAGGAGTTAAAGTAAATGTTTATGTTTTCCTGTTAGGGTCTCACGCTACAGTCCAGCCAAGCCGTGAGCAATGCCAGACGCCTTGGATGGCCTCTCACTCAGGTGGAGGAAGCTCTGTATTTGACCCATGCTCCTGGAGGATATCCTTTCTACATTGTGGACAAAGACCAGCCTCCTCATGGTGAACGTCTCCACTTTTTTGTACACACCAAAAATAGGTAGAACTTAAACGTCCAGTTTGAAAAAAATAAAATAAAAGGAATTAATCTTCAAAATAATAATAACTGTATCGATTATCACAATGACCTGCTTATGAATGCAACATTTTTAATGAGCAGGACGAACATAAACGCATACAGTTTGCTCAGATGTGTAACGGTGGTAATCGTTTCCCAGACCCCGTGCAGAAGGTTTCCCTCGGCGTGTCGGACCTCCACAAATCAACTCATTACTGGGCTACGCTCTTAGGCATGACTGTGATGGACAAAAAAGAGAACAACAAGACCGTGTTGTTGGGATTTGCAGATTCTCAAGTGAGTTGCAGAAATGAAAGCCAGATTTTTATTTATTTTTTTAATCTTTTAGATTGTGCTCAAAGAACCTAAGAAACGTTACACTAAAACATTTCATTTCATTTCATGTCTCACACGTGACTAAAGAATGTGTTTAATGTATTATTTTTGTTTTTCAAAGTGTAAATTGGAACTCCGGGATGTCGGTGGAGCAGTCGATCATGGAACAGCGTTTGGGAGAATTGCCTTCTCTTGTCCACGAGAACAAGTAAAAAATATCGTGTCTTGAACAAATCTTTTCGTTCACGTTTGGAGAAGTGTCAATTTGAGCCTGACTTCATTGTTTACATTTTACAGTTGCCCAGCATTGAAGCCTTAATGAGAAAAGAAAATCAAAAGATTCTGACTCCATTAGTCAGCCTGGACACTCCTGGAAAAGCCACAGTAGAAGTAGTTATTTTAGCTGACCCAGTAAGTGTGATCAAACAATGTTTCATGTATGTGAAGTGAACGAATGTGACGTTAATATCTTCTTTGTTTTTAGGACGGTCATGAGATTTGTTTTGTGGGAGATGAGGCGTTTAGGCAGCTTTCTGCTGTGGATCCTAAAGGAAATGAATTGCTTGATAAGGTTGGCATGTCTTCAGTTTTTTCACCTGTTATAAAATATAATGATAATAAGCAACATGCTGATTATTCATTCTCTTCTTTATGCTTTGATTTAGGCCATGGCTGAAGATAAAAGTGACGAATGGTTTGCCAAGCATGACAAACAGAAGGCTGCAGCATAAGATGCATTTCTCATCATTTCTTTGGATGATCAAATGCTGAAGCAGATTCTTGTAGCCAGCATCTTTTTTTGTAATGCCAGCTGTGTTTCGGCTGGAAGTCGGAGTTATTTCTCTGAATGGGCAGCACAATAAGAGCTGCTAAAATGGACCACTTGTTGAATTTGATCAGTGTTTTTTTTTCCCCGTGAATTAATTATCTTGTAAGTTTAAAAAAAAAAAAGAATGTAGAAAACTTTTCATTTACTGTAATAC